TTGTTATATTGCAAGCCCAGCAGTATTGAGCGTTGGAGGAACGTACTAATGTCAGAGGTTTAGCGCCGCGAAAAGTTGACATTATAGTTAAATCTTTGGTTTCAGTCAATTAGGCAGTCAAACCGGAGGCTGCTCAAAAATGTAGGACAAATGCAAAATGTGAAAGCTGGCGGTATTGATCGACTATTAAATTCACAAACACAGTGAGTACAACGAACCATTCACAATGAATAGGACCTTAACCGTGCATCTGTGAACTGTAGACTTCAACGTTTTTCTGTAACATTCCGAGTCGTTTTGGCATGGATGAGAAAAAAGAGAAAGCAACCTATCGCTGTACTTCTAACTAATTATCAAATTATGTATGGCCAAGGTATCCTAAAGCATTCTGATTTTCGAGTCCGCTACTGACAACCCTATGTAAGGAAAACCCATTTCATATAACTTTTAGGTTAACCGACACCTTCAAGATGGTGACCTACTAGTCATGAATCGGCAGCCAACTCTTCATCGTCCCTCCATGCAGGCTCACCGAGTCCGTATAATTCGTTCTCCCGGCGCAAAAACTTTGCGTCTCCACTACGCCATCTGCAAAGCCTACAACGCTGATTTTGACGGCGACGAGATGAACGGCCACTTTCCTCAAACATTCCAGGCGAAAGCAGAACTTGCGCATCTCGGTTTGTTACTCTAGTTTTCGGAAACCCCCTCCCCCTGTTTTCTAACAGTAAATGCTGTTGATCGGAGATTTTACCCGCGGCTACACATTACCCCCCTTCCCCTCAAATCTGATACTCTATTCCCATGCGCCACGATAAGTAAGTATCAGTAAGATTTTGGCCTTTCCAAATCAGCTAGGGGTTGTCAAATGCCACGTTCATGCATCACCCTCTCTGACCTTCTTACACGCCGCACTTACATATTCACTGTCATCGTAAGCACGCTTGACAGTGTTTTGCTCGTCAACTTTAAAATGCGCATCAACCAACTCGCTGATTTCCCCGTCCTTCATGCTACAATAGGTAGATCGAGTTAAGACGGCCTGCTTTTAGGCTTGACACCACCACGTCGATAATTTTAGAGACTTTCTTCATTTTAAACTTAGCATTGGTAGTCACTGCTAAACCAGTGACACTCGTTTCTGAGTTGTTTTACATTGTTCTTATGTAAGTTCGACAAAAAAACCGTGGTTATCTGTGAGCTGTTGTACAACTGTGCGGCCGTTGGCACCGAATGATTTAGTGACGGCATGCATGCCTAGATTTAGTTTCAGCTGTCTAATTCCCTCGGAAATAAATTTATAACTAGGAGTATATCAGCTAGTATCTATGCTGCCCGTATGGTCAATAAGTACGTAGGTTATATTGCTGGCTGTCTGATGGCAACTTGCGGATATTACACGGTTATCCCACAGTATTTGATGGACTTCGGCCCAAATATTGATATCGAATTTCGCCCTTCACCCGTGGACCCTTAACTTTACCGATCTACTTAGATAGAAAATATAATTTCTCTTGAAATTAAAAAGCTGAAATTTCAAAACTGCAGTATCTACCAGAAAGCACACAGAGAATGCTGGGGGGACCCCCTGATGAGCCAAACCCTCACAACCATGTTAAACACAGGTAGAATACCGGCGAAACACGTGTGTGAGCCTTTTTGCCACTGCCTGGACTGTTACTGTGGTTAAAATCTACACATTGATCTAGGTTTATTAGCTGTCACCTCAAAAATACCGTATATTGACCACATGTTAGAGCCCAAGGCACCTACATGGGCGCATGAATCGATACGTTTGGTT